TCTGAGATTGCATTTTGCTCCTTCTCGTTGTCATTTTGTGTAGCACTGTCTTCTGACCTTTGTTGTAGATCTTTGGTGCAGTTATAGCCTTAGCACCTACTGAAGTTCAGGTGCAGATCTACAGAGTTTGTATTTATCCAGCTGTGCCTCGCTTGGGTCTGGCTGCTGTGCTCAGCTCCTTCCTGCTGCCGCCCTTCGGAGTGAACCTGTTGTGCCCCTCTGGCAAGATGTTCTGCTCCTGGACTAGCTGGGTGGTTCTGTCCCCTACACTCTCTGCAGGGACTGCAGCTGCAAAGTTTCACCCCAGGCCTGTATGCCAGGCCTGAGCTGAGGGGACAAGGTGGAGTAGGGGGGAGAGGAAGCTCTCCCACACACTCACCGGGCCTGGGCTAGAACTGGATCTGGGGGTCCTGAGAACACAGCAGAAGTTCTCACTCAATGGTAGGAGTGGGGGGACTGTGGAGTGGTGGGGGGTGTCCCAAGGGAGTGGAAGAGGGTCCTCCCTACGCTGCACCTGGGCCTGGGCCGGACAGGTCCTGCCGTGCAGGGTAGCTGGAAGCTCTCCCACACATTCAGCGGGTCTGGGCTAGGGCTGGATCTGGGGGGTCCCGAGAATGCAGCAGAAGTTCTCACTCAGCGGGTGGGGGGGGGGCTGCAGAGTGGTGGAGGTATCCCAAGGGGGTGGAAAAGTGTCTCCCACGCTGCGCCTGGGCTTCGACTGGGTAGGTCCCGCCTGCGCATGGTAGCCGGGAGCTCTCCTGCAAAAATATTAATTTAAATTATTTATCGCAGATTTTTCGTTATATCACAGTATTTTGCCGTACCGTACAGTATATGTATGTCATTAAAATTACGTCGGTTTATGAGTTTAGAAAATGGTTAAGAACAGTAGAATTGTTCTTTGGGGCTGGGAGACGGCTCAGTGGAATAAGTGCAGCCCTGGCAAGTGCAGGGGCCTGAGTTCAGTCCCCGGTTCCGCCAAGAAAAAAGTGTTCTTAAAGGTGTGGGAAAGGTTTATAAAGCCTTAAAAGTATATCAATCCTAAAATAAATATTATATTGCTACTTCACTGATTTTCCCTTATCACGGGGGTGTCAGAAACGTAACCTCCATGATAAGTGAGGGACGAGTGTATTTCGTTGTGTATGTTGTTTGAGACAAATAGAGTCCCACTACGCCAGGCCTGAGCTCACCGTACAGCCCAGCAGTCCTCCTGCCTCAGCCTCCCAAGCGCGGGGATTAGAGGCTGGTGCCATGCCCGGCGTAGTGAGTTCTGGATTCCACGTGTGCACCATCACCCTTGGCACACACACTCTTCTGGAATGCCTCCTCCGGGCAGAGCTCTGCACTCAGACCACAGGGTCCATGGATAAATAAAGCAAGGACATACGAGCTGGGTGTCACACGCGTATGATCCCAGCACTCGAGGGTGAGGCAAGTTCAAGGCCAGACTGAACTACATAGCAAGATTCCCTCTTAAAGTCAAAAAGAAATAAAGGGCCGGCCAGATAGCTCAGAGGATTAAAGTGCCTGTTTAGGCAGACGCAGGGACCAGGGGCTGGATCCCCAGTGTGCCAGCCCTGCCCCCTGGCGCGCTGAGACCATGACTGAGACTGGGTGTGTTGGCGTGCATCTGTAATCCCAGCGCTTGGGAGCCTGAAAACAGGAGAATCACTATGAGTCCGATCTGTGTAGTGAAACCCTGTAGACCCTGTACTAAATACATTAAAAAATAAAATAAAATAAAAAATAAGGCAGGACATGTGAGTGCTTAGAGGTAGAGCCTGGGGAAGCCATTGAGAAGAGATCCAACCATGCCACAGGACGAACACCAGGATCCTGGATGCCAGGCTGTGACTCTGACCTTGTCCACACACAGCCTGTCTTCATGTTTGGGGTGAAAGCATTAGTTCTGGCACCTTTTAAAATAACAATAGTAGCGTTTCACTTCAATTGAAAGAATGAGCAGAAGTCTGGATGAACCACGGTGCTGTTCAGTTTGGTCACAGAAGTGCTGAGGCCTGCAGTCTGAACACGCCGCCAGCCAACAGGCTGAGCAGTGGCCGGCGCGCCGGCGTCTCCTCCTCCTGGCGCGTCTTCCTTTGGACTCTGCTCTCAGTGGCGCTCCTGGGGGGTCAGAGGGCCCCTGATGTTAAACAGCGTGTAATGTTTTTGTGCAGAAGTATTTTCTGGATCTAAACTTGTAAATTCAGCAGCACCTGCGTGGATTTTTCGAGGACTTTATCGAAGCTGCTAGATAGTTGGCACTCGAGGGAAAGCATGGTAGAGTGGAAGTAGTGATGCAGAATGCAAGCGAGTGTGCATTAAGTGACAGCATGAAGCCCCCAACATGCTGAGAAGCACATCTGGAAACATGGGGCTGGGCATGGTACTGCATATTTTAAGTCCTAGCACTCGGGAGGTTGAGGCAGGAGGACCCCTGTGAGTGAGTTTGAGACCATCCTGAGCTATGTAAAGTAGACACTGCCTCAAAAAAAAAAAAAAAAGAAAAAGAAAAGAAAGCCAAAACATGGGTGTGTCTGAGGGCTGGGTGAAGAAGCTAACAGTAGCTCCTGGTGGGTGTCGGAGCTACTCATGAGGTGCCACTGATGGGGCACAGAGAGGTGGGTAGTAGAAGTAGTTTTCTATGAGCTCATTTCTCTGAGCCAAAATGGGCCTTCCAAACTGCTTGTCCCTTTGACATACTTCCTGTCTTTGGCAGCCCTCCCTGTGCAGGCCACAGCCAGCGACTCCTGGAGGAAAGCTGTCACTGCCTTCAGTGGCACCGAACCCAGCTCCACCGAAGTAAGTGTGCACCCCGGCCAGCGTACTCTGGCCATGCTGGCCCCAGCTTTGCCCCGCTGCGGGCCTGCCCCAGAAGCCCCTCCACAGGCCCTCACTCACTGTGTTGTCAGTCTTGTCTCTGGCTTATGCGTGGTCCCTCCTGGAGCCAGGGAGCAGGGATGACAAGGGAGACTCCAACCTGGTAGGGCTCTGGAAGGAGGGTGGCGTTCTCTGGTCTAGTGTGAGCAGAAGGCGCTTGGCGGTCTTCAGGATACCCTGTGTAGTGGTCAGGAGCAGGGCAGGGCACTCGTGCAGTAATGTACCCTGCCGGACATGGCGGGCAGGCCTGGGCCAGGGCTGGGACTAGAGGGCAAGTGGCTGGGGGACATGTGTGAGTGCTGTGTGCAGTCTTCCTTGAGGTGCCTGTGGTTTGAAGCCAGGAACAGGGCTCTAACCCGTCTTTGCTCCGCACAGCAGGGTTTTAAGAGCAGCCAGGGAGACAGTGGCGTCGACCTGAGCGCAGAGTCTCGGGAGTCGTCTGCGACCTCCTCACAGCGCAGCTCCCCGTACGGTACTCTGAAGCCAGAGGAGATGAGCGGGCCGGGCCTGGCGGAACCCAAGGCCGACAGCCACAAGGAGCAGGCCCAGAAGCAGTCGGAGCAAAAGGTAACCTGGAAGTTCCCACTGTGGTGGCCAGGGCCTGCGTGGAAGGGGCCATTGTGTTGTGTTCCTGCTGGTGGCTGGGCCACCCGAAAGCTGGAGATAGCGTGTCTCAGCCTCTGCTTTTCCACCAAGGATGTGGAACAAAGCTCGGGACCGAACAAGGAGCACAGACCAGGACCCATCGGCAACGAGCGGTCTCTGAAAAATAGGAAGGGGTCAGAGGGAGCCGAGCGGCTGCAAGGGGCTGTTGTCCCGCCTGTCAATGGAGTGGAGATTCACGTGGACTCCGTGCTGCCAGTGCCACCCATTGAATTTGGAGTTAACCCAAAAGTGAGGCTTTGTTTTCTTTTTTTTCCTTTGGTACTTGGAGAGGTGGGGGCTGAGACAGATGTGCATCCTGTGTTGAGAGATCAACAGTCTTGGAAGAGTGTTGGCGTGGAGTCTGGGACCCGGCAGGTGCCACCAATGGCAGTCGGAATGGCCTCACACCAGCTGGGCTTCCAGGTGGCCAGGGGCAAGGACAGGGAGAGAGGAGGATTGGGGCAGTTTTCTGGCATATGATCATCCTGCTCCTAGTGGCTTCGTGGGTGTTTCGGGGTGCCGAGCTCTGGGCAACTCACATTCATGTGTCTCGGGGGAGAGATGACCACAACTGTGTCCTTCTTCCAGGACTCCGATTTCAGTTTGCCACCTGGCTCTGCCTCTGGACCTGCAGGAAATCCAGTCGTGAAACTTCAGGACGCTCTGGCCAGTAATGTAAGTCTGCGCTTCCTCTGCCACGCCCTTGGTCCCGACACGTGTTCACTCTCGACTCAGACCACCTACCTGGGCTGTTTCTACCTATGCCTGGGTGTTGTGACCCTCTGGTGTGGTTGATGTCATTCCTCAGGTCTGGGGTGGTTGCTTCCTTTGGTTTCCTGTCTGTACCAGGCTTGGTCAAGTCCTGCGTGGACTTCTGATGGCCAGCAGGGGCTGGAGGCATAGGAGGAAAGACCCCTGTGTGCCCATCTCCCCGGGGTCCCCACAGCCTGGCTCTGAACACTGTGACCCCAGAGCCCTCCCTGCCCCTGTGCCCTGCTCAGGGCTACCGCCAGCCTGTGCAATGATTTCTGCATACTGCTTGGTGGAGGGGTGTTGGGTGGAGCTGCCGAATGAGTGAGGTTTGCTGGACAGTGTTTCTGAAAAGGTTCAAGGCGTACTAGTGCTGCAGGATACTGACAGGCATGAGAACAAGTTCTGTGTTCACCAAGTTGCCCTATTTGAGGTTCTGTTTCCTCCAGTGTTTTTATCCTTATGTCATCCTCGTCACCAAGGGCCAGTGCCAAGGTCTCAGTGATGGAATTCCAATAGATCCTTCTGACCCTCCACTGTGGACTCAAAAGCAGGGAGATGACGAGGACAGTGACTGAGAGACCGGGCAGCCCTCACCATGGAGATTTCTCAGAGATGCTCACGTTCTCACATTGCCTGGCCCTGCCCGAGAACCTAGCACAGGACTTCCCACCAGTGTGCCAGCGACCTCTTTCTCAGTTTCCCGAGGCACTGAGTGACAGGCAGACGCTCTCTCCCTACCCCTGGGCATCTCTCCAGTCCACTTTTATGTTCCTTGGAGAGGACAGTCCCTGAATGAATGGCTCTGCAGGGGTGTCGACGGACTTCCGTGAGGAAGTGGAGGAGGGCATCCCCTTGAGGGGCCTCAGTCATGGCTGGGGGCCATGCAGACAAGCCTGAAGGGCCACCTTGTTCCCTTGTTTCCATCTGTGTCTTCCATGGTTTCCTTTCTCCCGATCTCCAGGCAGGGTTAACACAAAGCATTCCCATTCTCCGGCGGGATCATCACATCCAGAGGGCCATCGGTCTGTCCCCTATGTCCTTCCCCACAGCTGACCTCACACTGAAGGTGACTGGGCCTTGAACAGGGTGAAAAGGTGGAGGGGAGGAGCCGGGGTTCCCACCAGGCCTGGTAGTAATTCGCATCCTTTCTTCTCTTTGCCTCTGAAGATGGAGTCTGCGCGCAAGGCTTGGGAAAACTCGCCCAGCTTGCCGGAGCAGAGCTCCCCAGGGGGTGCGGGCTCAGGCCTCCAGCCTCCAGCCTCGGTGGGTGCCTCCAATGGAGGGAACTACAGCTCCTTCGGCGGAGTGTCCATGCCACCCATGCCTGTGGCCTCTGTCGCGCCTTCCGCTTCAATGCCAGGTACTGTGCCCTGAGCGCTGTGTACCACCAGCCCTCAATGTAGGGCATGCGTGGAAGGACACATTGTAAGTCTGGTGGTCACAGCTTTCTAGGCCCTGCAAGTGCACCCCATACTTCCCAACTGTGGGTCACAGTGAGCCTCTCCTACCCCATGGTAAGGGCAGTGGCCTTGAGTCAGAGCCAGTTAATGTGGGGGCCATGCCACCTCTGGCAGTGGGCAGCTCACCAGGCCACAGCTTGCTTCTCTGAAGTGGCCTATGACAGTGCTGCATGTGCTAGCCACACCATGAAGCGAGGACTCACCTAGAAGGTTCCCTCCAGCAGAGGTAGCTGTTTTTGTCCTTGTCACCATCCTTTGGGGTATTGGTACTGGAGCATGTAGGGACTCTGAGGGCCAGTGCCAAGGTCTCAGTGATGTGGTTCCAATAGATCCTTCTGACCCTCCACTGTGGACTCAATAGCAGGGAGATGACGAGGACAGTGACTGAGAGACCAGGCAGCTCTTCCGTCAGTAGTGGCCTCCTGAAGGCGGGGGCTTTGGATGAGCGCTGAGGCAGGCTCTGCTCTCTGCTCTCAGTGCAGAGTCCCTGGGGCAGGTGGACAGTGCTCACGAAGGGGACCGTCATCCACAGCCCAACTTGACCTTTCTGCCTTTCCTGGGTAATTTCCAGGCAGCCACCTTCCTCCTTTGTACCTGGACGGCCATGTGTTCGCAAGTCAGCCCCGGCTCGTTCCTCAGACCATACCTCAGCAGCAGAGCTACCAGCAGGTGAGGACTGGCAGGGGAGGCATGTGGTCCAGGCTGGTGTCCTCATCCCCTTGCTTCCTGTGTTCTCCCACATGACACACTGCATCCAGAGAATATTGGTTGAATGAATAAAATCAGAGACAAGAATGGACTCAATGCCGTAGGCCTCACGTTTCCTTCTTGGAGGTGTCTTTCCCAGGTCTTAGCTGGGAAGTGATCTGAGACAGTGTCTTCTGTGGTGAGCAGGGCTCCTTCTGATGCAGGGAATTGGGGCCTGGACCCCAGGCCTGAGGCATTAGAGAGGGACTGTGGAAACAGAGGGCTTCACTTTGCTGCAGGGCCAGCACGCTTACTGCGCTGCACAGGTGGGGCTCTCTGCAGGGTTCCTCTGAGAGCTGGTGTCCAGTTTCCTGGTCAGTTCTCGCCTGTGTGCCCCCATCGCAGGAGCTGTCCAATAGGATCTGCTCCTGGTGCACATTCGGGGGCTGGACAGAGCTTTTTTTGTTGTTGTTGTTTTTGTGGAACCAGGGATTAAACTCAGGCCCTTGCACCTACTGAGCTATCTCCCTGGCTCTTTTTTTTTTTTTTTTTATGTATTTAGTACATACATTATTCTATAGGGTCTCACTATGTAGACTGGACTCTTAGTAATTGTCCTGTTTTCAGCCTCCTAAGCGCTTACAGGTGTGCACCGTCACACCCAGTCTCCACCGCTATGTCAGCACACCCCCAGGGGCAGGGCTGGCACACCATGCCGGGGATCAAACCCCAGTCACTGCACTTTGTGTAAATAGGGACTTCAATCCACTGAGCTATCTGGCAGGCCCTCTTATTTATTTTTTGTATTTTAGGGAAGGGTCTACAGGGTGTTCAGGGTCTCACTACTAGATCGGACTTGTAGTGATCTGCCTGTTTACAGCCTCCCAAGAGCTGGGATTATAGGCCCGCGCCACCACGCCCAGTCTCAATTGGCATCTCAGCACGCCCCGGGGGCAGGGCCAGCATGCAGGCCTGGGTATCGAACCCCCAGCCCTTGTGCCTGCTTGCAGGCGCTTTAATCCGCTGAGCTGTTTGGTTGGTCCTCATTTTTTTTTTATTTTATTTTTTATGTATCTTACCTCTGTCTTAAAAGATATTCTTCAGTATCACATTTAGCTTTGTGAGATTGTATACAACTACATATACAGGGCCGGGGAGATGGCTCAGTAGAATAAGCGCTTGCCCAAGGGCCTGAGTTCGATCCCTGGTTCTGCAAAAAAACAAAAACAAAAAAACAACAAAAAACAACAACAAAAAAAACAAAACAAACAAACAAACAAAAAAAACAAAACCAACTAGGTATACAATTGTATGTAGATTGTGTATAACTGTATATAACTGGTTCATACCGTGTGTATATTTCATTCAGCATTACATTTTGTTTCTGAAATTTGCTTCCAGCTATAGATACAGCCAGGATCCTTTCTTGCTGCTGAATGGATCACAGTGTGGGGTATATGGTGGCTTGGGACTGCTCCCCAGTTTTCACTGGGGGCCTCATACCAGGAGGAAGGGAGTCCAGGCTGGATTCTGAACCGTGCACTGGGGCAGTGACCCAGCCGCCACCTACCACGTGGGGTTTGGGAGCAGGGCCACCCGGTAGGGCGTGCCGTCAGCACCTGGCTTCTGTTCACAGGCTGCCGCTGCCCAGCAGATCCCAATCTCCCTTCACACGTCTCTGCAGGCCCAGGCTCAGCTTGGGCTGAGGGGCGGGCTGCCCGTTTCCCAGTCCCAGGAGATCTTCAGCTCCTTGCAGCCCTTCAGGTGAGCTCCTATGCAGACTGGAGTGCAGCCAGGGCTTTGTCCTGTGGCTGCCGGTGGACTCAGTGTGGGGACAGTGTCCATCCCTGTGTGCCTCCCTCCTGCATGCACCAAGGGCCCTGGGCTTTGGCATCATGTCTTTATGTGCCAGAGCGTGGATGTGGCCATTGATTTCTCCAGACCAGCAGCATCAGGCCACTCAGGCCCCCTCAGTGGTGCTCTGGGGCAGTGGGGACCTCAATTCTGGCAAGCCTGCGGGATCCTGGTGGTCACTGGTGTCGGGATCGCCGGCTTTGGGATTGCCAGAGGGCTCATCCACCTGACCGTGTGTCCATCTACTTGTGCAGGTCTCAGGTGTATATGCACCCCAGCCTGTCTCCGCCTAGCACCATGATCCTGTCTGGAGGTACAGCCTTGAAGCCTCCATATTCAGCATTCCCAGGCATGCAGCCCCTGGAGATGGTGAAGCCCCAGTCTGGCTCTCCCTACCAGCCCATGAGCGGAAACCAGGCCTTGGTCTATGAGGGCCAGCTCGGCCAGGCTGCTGGGCTGGGTGCCTCCCAGATGCTGGACTCCCAGCTGCCACAGGTCAGGAGTCAGTCGCCCTTGCCTTCCAGCAGCCAGTGCTTTCTGGTGACCGCCCCATCCCTGCACTGCCCTGTGTGTGCTGACGTGGCCCTCATAACCCGCTGATGTTCTGCCTTGCTGAGCTCAGCCTCGCCCATGTGGTCTGTTCTGAGACCCTGCTTTCCCCCAGTTGGAGGCCATTTCGGCTCCCCGAAACTGTGGCTGTCGGGGGGGTGGTGTTCCTATATCCTATTAGTCTTTTCTCTCTGAATCCCCACCAAAGTCTACCCTACTCACAGTACCAAATCCCTCGTTTGAGCAGGAGTTCTCTCCTGTCTGCTGTGCTGTCTGGTCCATCTACTCTGTCACTATTAGTAACTGGGCCTCTTCCCCTTTCCACACCCGTGATCCTCAGTGGGTCTTCTGGCTCTGCCTTGAAAGGGGATGCAGCACCCCCCACGTGAACCCCTGCTCCCTCAGACTCACTTTGTGCCCCAGGGCCCTCCAGCCTGCAGTCGCAGCAGCCAGGGCAGTCCCTTCAGTGAGGCCACACAAGTGCTACACCCACCACGGCGTATCCCCACCACCTTCATCCTTAACCTGCCGTGCCCTGAGCCGGAGCGTGAGCGAAAGCACGTGGTGCCACATGTCTCAGTGATGGAATTCCAATAGATCCTTCTGACCCTTTACTGTGGACTCAACACAGGGAGATGAAGAGGACAGTGACTGAGAGACGCAGGGTGGCCCACCCTTCTCGTTCTGGACTTAGGCTTGCAGGCACCTGGCGCAGCACGCTTCAAACTGACCTCGCTCTAGCTGGGGCTTGTTTCCCATACCCCGTAATGCAGAGTAGTACACCGATGATCATATTTGTTTTTCACTCAGGGCCCAGAGGTACACTTCCTGCGCAACTTGCATCTTTTGGCACTTAGTATGGCTATTGATTTTGGGGTGGTGCTAGTTATTATTTCCTGGTGCTTTTAATTCCTCCTTTCCTTCCAGCCCAGGCAGCTCACTAGGGTGTGTGCACGCGCATGTGCATGCACGCACACACACGGCCCTGAGCAGCCTGTAGCTGTGTCCAGTGGTTGTCTGTGGCGTCCACGGCACCTGTGCTTTGTGGGCTGTGGCACGGAGAGCTACAGATGTGTGCAGCTCCGTGCAGAGGTGCAGAGGTGCGGTTAACAAGTGTGGTACATGTGTGTGATGGGCTTTTTCCCTGATGTCTGCTCCTCTTCCTGACTGTCCTGTTGTCCAGCAGCTGACCATGCCACTGCCTCGGTACGGCTCTGGGCAGCAGCCACTGATCCTGCCACAGTCCATTCAGCTGCCAGCGGGGCAGAGCCTCTCTGTTGGGGCCCCCCGAAGGATTCCTCCACCTGGGTCCCAGCCACCAGTCCTGAACACCAGCAGAGAGGTAAAGGTGACCCATCCACCTGTGTTCCGGGGAGGGACCTAGCTAGGACCCACTGTGTAGAAAGTTGCAGGTCTTGGCCTCCCAGATTGTGGCTTTCCTGTGAGGCAGTCCTCAGCATTCCAGAGGTCAGGGACTCCTGTTTCTGTGTATGCTCATAACAAAAACAAGCTTGGGTATAGGTGAGACAGCAAAACGGAAGGAAGCCATAGCTGAGGACAGCCATCACAGATGGCAGTCAAGACCCTGGCTGGGGTACAGGCCCGAGGGCCAGGAGCCTGTATTTCTGACTGGGTCCAGGTGGCTCTGCTGTGGATGACATCTGGGTGAATGCCGACAGTACGGCCAATCCCTTCTGGCTGTGTAGTTTGCTCTCCTGCCCTGCTTGAACAACAAACATAGCCAGGTGTGGTGGGGCATGTCTGTAATCCCAGCACTGAGGAGGTTAATGCGGGAGAATCACAAGTTCATGACCAGCCTCAACCACATAGAGAGATCCCGTCTCAGAGAGCAACAACAACAAAAACCCCACACAGTTAGATCTTTCTTGCCTCTAAGAAGCCTCTTTTGAGCCTGGGCCATCTCTGGGGCCATCAGATGACAGTTTGCTTCTTGGTTCCTTTAGTCCTCTCAGATGGAGCTGAAAGGCTTCCACTTTGCCGACAGTAAACAGAATGTTCCTACAGGAGGCTCCATACCATCGCCACAGACCTACAGGTACAGAGCACTCTAGGGGCTGGGGCTGAGGGCACTGTGGACGTGACCCTCAGAGACTCATAGGAGCTCTTCGGCCCTGTACCAGCAGCCAAAGAGCTCCAGGACATGGTCCTCATGGTGGGCCCATGTGTCGCCAAGAAGTCTGTGGGGTGTGCTTGTGCTTTAGTTAACCATGGGAGGATGCTGGGGATTGGAGAGACTGGATTTGGTTTTCATCATTTGAATAAGATGTGCTAGATTGAAACAGCTTTCTAGAGGGGAAAGAACAGCCCTGCTGGGCAGCTTTCTGTTGCTGGTGGTGAGGGCTCTCTACCCCAAGTTCTTGCACCTACTTTTGTTTCCCTCTGTCTCCATCCCGTAATTGTCTTAGCCTGATTCGGAGGCAGCTTTATTGGGTTCACAACAAGATCCACAGGCCCCCTGTGCTGGGTGAGAAGGTGGCTGTGCCCCTGGGCTGTGAGGGTGGGTACATGTCAACTCCCGTTCACACAGGACATTCCTGGGCCTCCTCTTGCATTTGCAAATGAGTGGGACAGACACATACAATGCACAGTGCTGTGTACAAGAGACATTAACACTGTCACCCCAAGTGCTAAATCACGCCGCCAGCAGGCACTCTGCAGTTAGAGCCCAGCTGTGATGGGCTACCACAGTGGTCATTCTGCCCATGCAGCTAGGCTGGGGGTCCTCTGTGTCATGGCTCTGCATTTCCAACCCACGCTTCTAGAGAAAGACTTTGATTTTTTCCCATTTCATCTTTTTTCTGTCCTTGCAGTCTTGGCTTTGCTGTTGAGTGTGTCGGTACATTTTGTTTCCTACCATTACCCATTGCTAGAGCGGCACAGCAGGATTGTGTGGCCAGAACACAGAGTGGGATGTGGCATGGGGCACGAGGGCAGGGAGGGATCAAGGGCTCCCACTTGCTCCAGCCCTCTGCTGTCACAGAGCGGGCTGCAGAAAACAGACTCATGCCACAAGCTGCTTCTACGTGTTTGCAGCTGCGGCCAGGCAGCAGCTTCACTCCTGGAGGGCACAGCTACAGGGCCAAGGACTTGGGGAGGGCGGACCATTTCTTTCTGAAATGACCCAGTGTGACAGCTATATATAGAGAGAGAATTTTTAAAGAATCTTGAGATTATCTAAAGTATACAAGAGGGGTCTGGGAGTGCTGCTTCAATCCCCAATACCCCCAAAAATGTACAGGAGAATGTTATATGTAAACACCACCCCATTTCATGTAAGGGGTTTGAGTATCATCTGTGGGGGTTCTAGAGTACTTGTGTAGAGACAGGGTCTCACATGTAATTCAGGCTGGCCTTGAACTCACTGTATTGTAGCCTAAACTTGCAGAGAACCTTCTGCCTCAGCCTCCCAAGTGCTAGGATCACAGGTGTGTACCACCATACCCAGCGGGATGGGCAGATTTAGAAACCTAACTAGCAGCCTGTTCTCATGGAAGGGAAGAGTTTGTGGAAAACAGGCTGTTGAGGCATGCCCTGCACAACGGGTCCCTGGCCAGCACTGGGTGTACCGTGCCTGAGAGGGCTTTTTCAGATAGAGCCGCCACCACGGCACAGGGTCTCAGCAGTTCCTGGTGGGCTCTGCACAACACTCGCGCTTGTGGCCCACAGAACCTTTTCCTGTAGCACCTGCTGCCACACGCTGATATAAGGAGTCACGTGGAGCGCAGAGCAGGACCCTGGCCTCTCCTAGGGTATCTCCTAGCAGTGTCAAGGTGGACAGTGACAACCACCCTTCCCCTTTCTGCATTCTTGCTATCTCGGGTCTATTTTTTTTCCATCTGAGAGCTTTCCCGTGGCGCAGGGCAAGTGCCTCTGGCCAGAGGGACCTTCCTTCCTTGTGCCTCCTACATGCTAGGCTTTGACTCCGTTTCTGTGGTGACGCATGTGTATTCTCAACCCCTGCCTTTGGTTTTTTCAGGCCTAGCTCTGCTAGCCCCAGTGGGAAGCCCTCTGGATCAGCAGTTAACATGGGCTCTGTGCAGGGACACTACGTTCAACAGGTAGAAGTTGGCTTTCCAGACCCTGCAGCCCTGAACACTTAGGCCTGTCTCCCAGCGCCAAAGGAGAAGGGATTGTCCAACCAATTGAGTGCTCCTTTAATAAAGACATGCCCTAGCATGAGCTGGCCGCCTGAGCCCCTTCTGGTGAAGGCATGTCTCTTCTTGATGGGCATCTGGATCCTTCCTTGTCCTGCAGAGAGGGAAGGATACTGGTTCCTAAGAGGAGGTGATGCCAGCAGGTGGGCCCCCCCGCCATGTGGGGCTGCCCTGGCGCTCTGGGAGACCCAGTTAGGCCTATGGGTTAGTGTTAGCAGCTGGGGTGTGTGCACGTGCTAGCTCTAGAAAGTGGCGTGTCTTGTCTGTCGCGGCTGGGTGGGATCACAGAGAGAACTAAGCTCCTCTGATTCTCAGTGAGGATTTCTGTGTCTTCCTGCGGGCACTATTTTCTTCCCTCCTCTGAAGCGTATTCTGGGGCTCCAGAGCTCAGGACCTGGGGGGAGGGCAGCTGCTCTCATCGCATCCCTCACTGCAGGTTCCTCTGGGGTCACCACATGGTGTCTGTTGGAGGAACTTCCAAAGTTTTTCCCAGAGTTCTGGGCACTGAGAACTCTGGGCACACCCTCCACTGTGCGGAGCTACAGATTCAGAACCTTGAATGGGAATCTTCAGGCCAGGCGAGGGTCCTGGGGAAAGGGTCTTGCACAGTAGGTGTGACTGAGTCACGGTCAGGGGTCCAAGAGAACCAGGTGCCTGGCTCCTCCCCACTGCGGACAGCCTGGGACTCAGGGCTCGTGGGGTACACTTGAAACTGCTGGAAGGATTTTCTTTTGCCTGTGGGGCCTGGGGTGCGCTGATTTGAAAAGGTTCTGGTCAGAAAGTGTCTGCCCCAGGACGTACCATCGCTGAATTCTTTGTGGAGGACCTGGTGTCTCTCTGCCTCTCCAAATCACTGCACTCGATGCCCATGGGGAGGGAACAGGACAGTCAGACACTAGGTTCCTTACTAGAAGAATGACAGAATTCTAAGTCTGATCCTTCACAAAGGGACAGACATCTCAGAGTAGGTTTTCTTGGTGACTCAGGAGCAGGAAGGGAATGGTAGGAGCTGTGCCTCTGAACAGATGTTTCTGCCTTAGAGTCACTTTTTCTTTTTCCCATTCATCTGTCCAAAGGCCAAACAGCGAGTGGATGAGAAGCCCAGCTTGGGAGCCGTGAAGCTGCAGGAGGCTCCCTCGGCCACTTCCCAGATGAAGCGCACCGGAGCCATCAAGCCTCGGGCAGTCAAAGTGGAGGAAAGTAAAGCCTGATTTGCCTGGCCGCCACCTTGCCTCACCCCAACAGGGACAGTGCCACCATCTGGCCTGGACAGGACAACCACCACTTGGAAACCTCACTGGATCCAGCACTCACCGGCCTGGACGAAGAGGTCCTCCTCTCCTCCACCCCTGAAAGCTCCATTGTCAACCAGCTCACACCGTGGAAATGTGGCATTGACCTGCTTGCTTCACGACAAAAAGAGCACCGACTCCCTCCCTTCCTCCCTCCCTCCCTCCCTCCCTCCCGTCCCCTCCTTCCCAGTGACTGGAGTGAGTCGCCTTTCGTGCGTGCACCGCAGCCCTACTGCCCGCCCCACCCCCAGCCACAGTGGCTTGGCAGCAGGGTCATTTTAGCCTGAAGCTTTTTGTTTTAAAAGCAGCTAAGGTTTTTTACAAAGGGGAAAGGAAAAAAAAATGCCAGCTACGTCTGTACAGCTGAACTTTTATACGTTCCTTGCTGTCCTCTCCCTAGCCCGCTCTGCTGTCCCTAATGGTCTCCTTTTACCTTGTCCTGTTGGATGTGTCACTGCGACACCTTAAGAGATGGCTTTTAAGAACCTGCTCCCCCAAGCTGGTCACCTTTTGGCCTCACTGAGGGAGGACACAGCTGTGAGCACTGGGGTTTGCTTGCCGCTGGAGGCTGCAGGGGAGCAGAGCAGAGGGCAGGGGGCATCACAGTTGGGTGCCAGGCCTGGCCTCACATCAGGCCTTGTAACGCGAGTTTCAGGAATTTTGGACCTGGGCTCTGCTGAAGCCATTGGACAGCTGACTGGGGTGCATTATTGTGGGGGTACGGTTCCTGTCATTTCCGAGATTGGCCAAGATGGCCCAAGTGGGCAACACACCACAGGCCCCACTGGTGGGTGTGCTTTGCTTCGGGCCCTGCACCCCTGCCTTTGGGGGCCACTGTGTGCATCACTTCCTCTCCTCAGCCTTTCATGACCCATAACTTGCTGCCTCTGTGAGCCTGCAGTGTCCCACCCAGCACATCACTAAATCACAGTGGCAGGAACTCACGGACATCAGCTTGGCGGTGGCTGCAGCAAAGGCATGTGGTTCCTAAAGCACAGTCATGGGGTCTGTCCTGGTTGGGTTAGGGGACTCTGGTCAAATGGGTGGGTGGGCCTCTAGTTCCAGAAAAGCTTAGCAGCCCCTGAAACGCAGCCTCTTGAGTCTACAGAGCTGCCTCATGGAAGGCTACTATGAGCCACTGCTGTGGGCTTGTTTTAAAGTCAGAAAGAGGAAGTCATCCCTACTCCATCATTTCAAGCAAAGTACAGGAGAACTTCCAGTTCCTCAACTGCCTTTAGAGTTCACCACCTGACTGCGGAAACTGCTGTGTGCCCTACTGGTGTCCCTGAGACTTGGCTTGGAGAGTTTGCTGTACATGCAGGGGCTTGGCCATGCCCACAGCCTGCTCTCGTCACCACGGATGTGACAGCTGCTCAAGTTCTGAACTGTGTCTAGTGTGGAGCCTGAGGAAGGATATACCTTAGGGACTCCGAATCCACGTTTGGTCATTCTATGTCAATGTGGGGGGGGGGGTCACCCTGCACCCCCAGCACGCAGTATGGTGTAGTCCCAGTGGCATCTGAACGGAGCAGTCTTACTGGAAGATGCTTCTCTGCTTCATCTAGAACACTTGGCCGCTCTCCCCCTTGCCTCCACCCGCAGATCTTCCTAGCTTGTCTTTTCTCCATCCCATCAGCCTTTACTCTTCCATCTTTTCTCAAAGGGCCGTCCACTTGGAGTCTCTAGCACTGGTCTCCCCAGGTCTCATTGCTCTCCTCCCCATGCAAGTGTCTGGTCCCTGTCCCTGTGGTGAGTTCTCTATCCTCCCCGCTCCCACTAGCAGCCAATGGATGAGCCTGGTCAGCTGGAGCCTGTGGCCACCTCTGCCTGTTCCCTTTAAAAACACAGCCAGACCTGCTCACGTGATGCTGGTGCACATGATTTATCCAGTTCAACAGAACGGTCCTGGGTGCTGTTAGAAATGCAAGATGTGCCCTTTAGGCAGGCCTACAGTAAGAGTGACAGTCACCTGAAAAAAAGTCACCTGATCTCAGCCCCTTTGCACCCTGTATTTCTTCCTCTCTCCTCCTCACCCTAAAAAAAAAACAAAAAACACTAGAATTTATTTATATGTATTGATGTTGTAGGTCTAGGTGAAAAAGTAAATGTTCCATTTCTCTATTTATATATAATGTCTGAATTACTCTGCAGGAAAGGCCAGGAATTTGCATGTAAAGTTCAGTGCTTTTGCCACTGTGACCTCAGCTGTGGGTTCTTCCCTGCTGAGATGCAGGTTTAAAACTAGGCTGTGGGGGCAGAGCACAGGCCTCAGGCCCCCTGCCTCCCAATCCCTTCCATGGTCTGAGTAAACAGTTCTTAGTACAGAGATTATTTATGGTGCAATATCTCTTATGTGGTTTTCGAGCCAAGCTCATGGTAATAGGATTGGGGTCTTTGGTTTTAGCCCCCATCCTCAGATTGCATGTGCGTGCGCAGGCTTTGGCCAGGATGCCCTTGGCTGGAATAGGCGAATCCCAGCACCTTATGTGCTTTTCATACTCTGAGGCAATTGGGGGGCAGGTGAGTGCAGAATCTTCTCAGCGAGGCCTATTCCAGTCACCGCCTGACACTGGCAGCTTTGCCAAGGTTGATGGTACTGCCTGTTGCTTGACACCCAAGTGACTTTGTAGTGGTGTTGGTCCTCTGACAGCTCTGGAGTGAAAGTGTGGGGCATCTGAGATTCAAAGTCCACCCTCTGAAAACTGCTGCCAGCTGCATTTGGTCTGATTTTATAACTGTTACTTCCTGTTTTACTTCCATTATTGTTTTCAGACTGAATTCATAGAACCCTTCTGGTTCTGGATTCCATAAGAGGGAAAACAAAGGAGGACTTTATTACACAGCCAGAAAAGTTGGTTGAGTTCCAAAACCGTGGTCATGCCAGCTGCTTCTAGGGATGCTGGAGTAACTTGTTAAACATCACCACTGCCCTCCTGGCTTCTGGATCTGCCTTCCAGATGGTCAGTGGTGAGGTTTATAACTGACTCACCCAGAGAGCAGGAGGTGAGTGTGTTGCTGAGGCAGTGTGTGGCAGGTCTGGCGGAGCCCCTCCCCGACACCTACTGGCTTCCCCTCTGCCAACTAGCTGCATGTTGCCTTCAAACCTGTGTTCCCTCATGCTTTGTGCAGAGCAAGCCTGGGTAGAAGGTCTGTTGGAAATGGCCTTTGATAACTAAGAATACTGGTGTGTATTTGCTTCATCATGTTCTATGATGAAAGGGAAATGCAGATTCCCAAAAAGCCAGCTGTGACTATGAGACTGGTGACCTGAGACAGGTCATCTGGACAGGAGTGGCTCGTGCTGGGGACAGACCCTATCACCCAGCTGTGTTCTTCACCGGAATCACCAACACATGTCTGGCTAGTGAGTGTTAAGGCATGGAAGACCTGCCATGAACTGTTTCTTCATCCCAGCTCAGTGGCCTCCAAGACGGCAGCAGCACCCTGTCTTCAGCATGTCAGGAAGCCGTGTGCGGAGACTCCTATCAAGGCTCTGTACGGAGGGTTTTCTGCACTCTTCCACTGTACTCTAAAGCTTTTGACCTCATGCCTTGTGTAGTAAAAAAGGATTTTGGGGGGTTTTATTTTTTGAGCAGGTTCTTTTTTATTTCTCTTTTTTTTTCATTTTGGCCTTTCCTCTCTTTGTCTTTTCATGTAGACCAGATATTTGAAAGGGCAGACGATGGCTAAAGGTGTACTGTGCAGCTTGTTTATGTGTTTGGGGAAAATTTTACCTCGGATGGGAAACGGAATCATGGATTCACACGCTGTGCTGGACACTCACTCTCCCTTCCCTCCAGTTCAGTACCTGTTGTTTCTCCTTTCAAATATGTGATTGTACTAGCTCTTTCCATATGAAAGAACTCTCCTTATTTAAATAAAAAAAGTAAAAAAAAAATAAAGCTAAACATGCTTTCTCAAGTTGTGTATCCCTTGCTTCCTAGCCATTTGACGAGAGAAAAGAAAAAGGGACATACAGGTGGCAGAACCTGTTTTACAGACCTGTAACATATAAACAGGTGTGGCCTGGCTGGAATGCCTTGGTGGAGCTGGGCTTTGGAAGAGAGGGTCGGAAACTGCTAATGAGCTGCAGCTTCATGGAGCTACAGCGTCGGGCTGTGTCCCTCCCTCTCTGTGGATGGCTCCCAGGTGTGCACAGTATTTGTCTCATTCCACTCCAGTGAAATGACTGACAATGGGGCTGGTGAGATGGCTCAGTGGTCTAGAGCACCTACTTGGAGCAAGCTTGGCGAAGCACAGGGACCGCGGTTCGATCCCCAGCACCACATGCCAGCCAGACCCGCCCCCTGGTGGGCTGAGCTGGCCACACACACACACACACAAAAGAAATGACTGACAATAATTTGATGTGACGTGTGTTGCCACTCCTGGGACAGTTTGTGCATGAAGACAAAAAGGATTTTGCTGCACTTTTGGGTGGGAAAAGAGTGACCCAGGTCTGGGATGATGATTTTTTTTTTTTTTTTTTTTTGCAGAACCGGGGATTGAACTCAGTTCCTTGAGTTTGCCAGTCAAGCACTTATCCTACTGAGCCATCTCCCCGGCCCCCAAAACGGAATAAGTGTTTTTTGTTTTTGTTTTTTTGCTCTGAATGCCCTTAGGCATGGTTTAGCTGGCTGGAGTGTTGTGGGAGTCAAACT